AGTTAACGAGTTTTCACTGTAAATAAAAGTTGGTCCTATTTACCAAAATTGACCATAGTTGACCATATTGACTGGTTAATTGACCATTCAATTGACATGTTTTTAATTGACTGGTCAATAACCCATCCCTACTTAGCAATGACCTACCTTGGGCAAAGGGGTGGCACTGTTCACGACTTAGACGGCTTAACTCCTATGCAAAGAATTTCATATTAGACTACCTGTTCCAAGCGCTTCTTTTGGGTAGACGAGGACGGCCACCGTCGATCGTTGTTGATGGCAGTCACATTCGTGCATTTAAACTTCCGTTCTTTTTTTAATAGCATAACATCCTTCTTCCAAGTAAAGTTATGCCTGTATTGTAACTGAAAAGTATTATAATTTGAATGCTTCATTTCCTTTTTTTTATTACCTACTTACAGGGCATCACTTTCTATTCATAATGACTCTTTTCTATCTTTTGTTGGAAAGTGAAGCTGGGACAAGGCTAAGTGCTGCGAATGTCGGCACTGGGGGTACTTCGCAATCGTCAAAATTCTGACTCCACTACCAGTCCCCTAGGCATGGGTAGACAAGTATTCTCAGATGATGATACTATTGTTGTTAACATGTTCTTTGAACAGCCATATTTACTGCTTGTTTTCTTGAAGTGGCTACCTTCTCTTATCGCACTCCGAAAAACCTGCGAAATCTTGTAATTTTGCTAAGCAAAATGCACATTCCATCCTTCTTTCCCAGTCTAGGAATTATTTACAATTATTTTATTAGGTCGTTGCATTCATTTTTGAGTCCATTGTAAACAACAGTGATGCTGAGATTTCCAGCACGGTGATGCCGACTATACCAGTAAGTATGCCGAGATTGCCAACATCTGACTAAACTTCCACTACAAACACCACCAGGGAAGGTGAAAGCGAAATTTTTGCTTAATGTACCGACATTCACAGCACTCACTCTATGTTTCTACAAGCCATAATTTCTTTGGATTCATAAAGAAGCTAAGTGTTGGCTCTTGAAAAAACCTATGTACTACACAGTAAAACTGAAAGAGACAGGCATTCAGGAAGAGACTTTAAGAACAATTATGAATTAGATCAATTTTTAGATCATGGTATTGTAATTGATAAATTAATCAAATTACCAACAGCTATGAAAGACTGTTTATGATACCTAATTCTACCACTTTCAGCAGCTTATATTTGGTTGCTTTATCTTCCACAGGTGCGAGATGCATTCTTAGCCACATTTGCAGAGAACCTCCCACTTGATGACTAATACCACAGATGTGAGGAATTCAATAATTTATTTCATCAGCAGCAGCTCACCATCATCATCAGTCTATTGTAAGAAGAAAAAAAAGGCAGTCAACTGTACGGTGAAGATACATGTGGCGGCTCAAAGAGATGTAGAAAAACAACAGACAAAGACAGGATCCAAACCACTCTCTCACTGTTCCTATTAATAATGGATACATTGGTAAAGGAACTTGCACCAGCAGCAGCAGCATCGTAATCATCCATAGTGATGTAATGCAGGAGGTGTGTGTCCTTGTGTGTATGTGCTCTTCCTATCATATTAATTGATGAAAAACAAAAACGAACGCTCGACGTATGAGGTAGCACGAGATGAAGTCCCGAATGATCGGTCATCGATCGCCTGCCTGTGTTCGATCAGTCCAGCCCAAACTATGTACAGGTAGATGATGATAACCAACTGGGTCATACAGGCCGACAAGACGGTGAGAGAGAGAGCGGTCCGAGGCTACAATCATCATTTCCGGTGTGAGACCAACGTCGTCCCTGAGACGCACTTGGGTTATAAATCGAATCGAAATCAGCCGAGGTGGTCCAGAGATGGTGTCCAGTTTCCACATTCCATGTGGTGTGTGATCAGTCCCAAAAATTCCATCCACAGAGAGAGGGAATGGAGAGAGAAAGAGAGAGCAAGTTGTTGTTTTCTTTGCACTTCCCCTGACCAACCCTCTTTTTTTTTATAATATATTTTTTCTTTTTCCTTTTTTTCTCTAACATTTTGGTGTCATTTTCATGAAAATAAGAAACAATAGAAATCTCTCAACAAAGCGTGTATCAAAAATAAACATCCAGCAACTCTGTCTCTCTCTTCCTATCGCTCACATACATAAATTTTTTTGTTTCATTTGTCGAAAGCCACCTGCACTGGGAACTTTCTCTCAACAATGACGAGGATGAGCGTCGAACTAGTTCCATTTGTACTCGACATTTTTTGGTCCTCCCTTCGACAAGGGAAGAAGGGAGGAGAGAGAGAGAAAGAGAGGAGCTACTTGCTATGGATGCCCAGATTTCTTCGATTTCTTTGTTGGGTTTCGTAAGGTTGTTCCGTTCGGGATGCCAGATTTGAAGTGTGGATGGGGTGACTGTCTTGCACAGAAAAACACCGTTGGCAGTCTTTGGTAGCGCAGAGCAAGACCGCAATGACGCCACGGTCGAGGAGGTAATCTCGGCCAAGACTCCGTCGTGAAGAAGTCAATGATAGGCAGGCAAAGGATCCAGTTCCTGATAAGAAGTGTTGCACACTTAAGTCCTATAAGATGGGGTGAAGGTCACTGGCTGGAACTCTGGGGATCTGGGCTCGGACCCGGAGCGGATCCAGACGGCAAAGATTGTGGGTGAGAATGAGGGGCCTTAGGACCAGAGGGTACCGGTCCTCCCTGCCCCCGACCCGAATTCCCCCGCATCGTTCCACTGTATGCTGGCGCCACCATAGCACGGATCCGTCGTTGAGCACTCTGGCAACATAAACAAAGATTATATGAGAAGCTGTAGGTTTCCAGGGAAGATTGAGAAGTTGGAAGAAACACTCACTTGCACGGCATAAAAAGAGCCTGTGATGAGGACAGCAGTTTCTTCCGATGTCTGAGCTCCTTGTTCAGGTAGTTTAACCAATGCTCCTGTGATACGTTGCATCTCTCTCACATTATTACCTCCTCGACCGATGATCCGACCTACCTGACTGGAAGGTACGAGGATTTCGACTGTGAGGCGTACTTCTTCAAGCCCAGAGAAGAATCCTTCTTCCCTCATCTTCTCATATACCATGAACTGAGCCTGCAGATAAGGATATGTAATGAATGTCAGCTACATTCCAGGTCAACAACAAACTGAAAGGAATAAGTATGATGAATATACCTTCCACTGGGCCTCAGGTGTGCCAACAACTGTGACCTTGCGTTCAAAAGTAGGGTCGGGGGGGGAGGCAGGGGGGGCCACTGTCGGTGGTGAGTCAGAATTCATGGGTTGGATCTTGACTGATGCTCCCGAGAAGCGCATGATGCTCCTCACATAGCTTCCTTTGCTTCCGATAATCGCTCCTACTGCACTGTTGGGAATGTACAGGCATGCTGTCTCCTGCTGCAGCAACCAGAAGGACAAAATCAGGATTGCAATTGCCTCAGAATTATAAGAATTTTGGAAAAAGGGGACTCAATTTGGGAATCGGGAAGAGCAGATCAGGATATGGAATGGGGGGCCTGCTTCAAACACACACTTGTTCCAAGCATGCACATCATGAGGCTTATAAGTATGCACAGCAGAGGGCAGGAGCATGGTTATTTAGCCTTTTTCTGAACAAGTGAAGAAAACAAGGTGGGTGCAATGTAGAGGCAAAGAGATTCCCTATGAAGGAGATCAATAAATTTATTTCAGGTAGACAACCATCTCCACAATAGATACATTCGTGCAAACCAGGCCAGGGATGGAACAACAAAAACAAAAAAAAAAAACAAATATAAACCAACTTGGGAATTTTCATGCAGACAGAGAAATCCAGAGCAAACACCACTTGCAGGATGGAGGAAGGAGAGTAGGGGGTGATTATGGATGTGATGAGGATGTGGGAGCTTGAGACAAGAGGATGAGAGACATCTCAAATCAACCACTAACCTGCTGAGCCTGAAAGGATCCTCCTCCACTTCCACCTGCCATGGGAGGAGGTGGGTATGTCGGAGGATATGGAGGGATGCCGGACGATGGACCATACATTCCCACTCCTGGTCGGGGAGGGTAACCAGATCCCAGAGTGGACATCATCGCCATGGGATGCAGACCAGGGAACATCACTGTCTGCGGCTGCTGGGCAGATATGGCAATGAAAAGTCAAGAAAATCAGTTTTTAAGAGGTCTGTTCCTAGAACTTGAAATCTTTCAGGGTTTGCAATACTCACAGCCATGGCTTGGAGGTCATTCTCATAACTCTGGCGAAGTTTGGCACTGATGACCTGTTCAGCTTTGGACATGTTGTCGATGGTCCCTCGGATGGTGATCACCCGCTCCAGGTTGAAACTGTTGATATCATTGATGGAGGACACTGCGATGCGGGTGTTGGTGTCCTCCATCACCTTCTTGATGGTGTTGCCACCCTTACCAATGATTCGACCAATCAGATTGTTATGAGCCAGGATCTTCAGCACCACATCACTGAAATCACACCAGTGCCTTGTTAGTTTCCTATCTTATATGCTAAGAAGATGCACCCCCCAGGGCTGCTCACCCCTTATTCATGTTGTTAGCCTCTTGTTGCATAATTTCAAGGATCTTCTTGCATGCAGCCGAACAATTCTCAGGGTTGCCATAGATGGTGATGGCCTTCTCTAGTGATCCAGTGTTGTCCTTACGATGAACATCCACCCTGGTGACAAGCAGAAGAGTATCCAATTCTGGTTAAGTCTTGAGGAGTCAGTATAGAAATAGACAAGATATCTATAACCCATTGGCACCTAAAGCTGATTATTTGCTGGGCTGATGTTCATCTCAACATTACTATTTCATAAACAAACATAAGAAGAGGCCAGCATAAATAAAAATCAGAAATATAAAAATGTGCCATAAAATGTATTATTTTCATACATATTTATATTTTGGACCTGAGCCCACATGGGAAATTTTCATTTTAAATTGTATACCAATGGGTTAAAGGAAGTACTAATAATTATTGCCAAAATGGGAACACCGTTCATTTCCAAGTCCTTTCACTTACCGTGCTCTAGTTTGTTGTGTCACTTGTCGAATGGTGCTCCCACCTCTACCAATTATTGCACCAACCATTTCTCCCAGGACCAAGATCCTGTCAGCAGGGAATATGAAATGAATAAAGCCATAAAAAACAAGACAGACTTGTTATTTCTCTATATTACATACAAGGTGATTACTGAATTACTGACAAGCTGAACTGCATCTGAAGGCAAGGTTTTCTCAAATTGAGCAGATAAATCACACGTGGTGTGTACATCTCAGGATGACAAATTAAGACCATATAAGCAAGAATGTAGTCTCACCCTTGCTCTAAAGTAATCAGCCTTAAGCTGATCACTTTACTCTATTATAGCAAGGACTCTATTTAACTTATTTTCATATGAACTTCATCAGCCTCAAATGTCCTGCTCATGCCAATTTTACTTTAAGGCAAGAAATGGAATTATAAATGCATGAGCTTCTGCCTGAATGAGAGTCTGGCTTTGTCCTCACTCTCATTGTCTCTTCAGTCAATTTCTTTCAAGGGACTCAATTTTCATTTTCTTTGCCTCACAATCATATACCAAGTATTCATAAATTATTGGAGGGGTTTCCAAAATGTTCATCTGAATAAATTGACAGATAGGCAGCAGACTGTGGCTGAACACCTTTCAACATAGGCACTGGTTGAGTGACTGAAATAAAGTAACAAGAAAAAGTTTTTACAGTTATCTTCAGATCTACCTGCCTTTGTGCAGCATGCTCCCAGCTTTTTGAAATCGCTTATACCACATTCTAATCAAATTATCACTTGGCATCCACAGAACAGAAAATACGGGAGACTTTCTTGCACAGTAAAAATTACGCAATCAACTGATGTAAGAAATCATCTTTCTCTAAAATTCTCTCTCCCTCTATCTTCAAGCACATAAAAACTTCCTATTATTAACCCAATCAATTTCTTCCCAGTATTTTTCAATAAATACATTTCTGAAACCCCTTCAACATCAACCCCATCAACATTTGTTAACAATTTATGAGTATTTTTGTTTCACATTAGCTCATGGAAGTGTCATACATAATTTCCATTGAAAAATGATTGGAACATAAACAAAGCACAGGGCTGCATAGATGCAACCAAGCTGAGTGTTCTATCAATGACAGATTGACTCATTGCCTGGATGTCAATGCACAATAGCCCAAAACTTAAGGAGAGACAAATACAAGAATGCGATGCACACCTGAGCGGGAAGTCTGTGTGTCTGGCCGGAGGAGCAGCACCACCAGGACCAGGACCCATAGGACCTGGAACAGAACCACCCATTCTTCCACCTGGAGGACCTCCCCCCATTCGACCTCCACCCCCTCGACCCTGACCGTGATTTGTAGTGTTTCGATGGTTACCAGATCCCGTTGACCCTTGACCTCCCGACATCTCAGTTAGGAGCTCTGTGTGGAGGGCACAGTTTTCGTACTCGTAGTTGTCCAGTTGACTCACGACCCTAGAATGCAAGGACCTCGTTCAGCATTCACAGTCAATATGTCCAACCTTGCTACCATACAGAACATTGCAGATAAAACTAATTTCAAAGCTGCTTAGAACTAGAAAATGAACAAACAAGACTGGTCAAATAAGGCATAGTAGTAGGGTCAGATGCCCTTTTCTTTGACAATTTCACTGTCTTTCTGTTGGCTGCCATATGCCAGCTCATAAAGAAGAAAACACAAAACTTTAGTGCAGGAAATTCATCCTTTCAGTTAAACCTCTATCCTCATCTCCACCTTCAGAGACCTCCAAGAGTAAGTCTGAAAGTGTTCCATTAGTGGAGATAATAGAAAATGAAAGGTATGACTTGGTGGGGAAAACCTTAAAATAATATCAGCTTCTGATGTGGACTTCAGCTTCCAAGCTATTATGTGGAAATTAGAGGGATAACATATATGATATGTTATCCTCTATCCCTAGTTATGAAAATGTGAAAGGACATGCCATATTAAAAATAAAAAAGCATTTATTTTTGCAGGGATTCTTTTTTCCTTTTCTATCCTGTGCTTATAGAAAGGAATCCAGGAAAAATTGGATTGTAATAATCAATTGAGAACCAAACCAGGCAAGAGGCCATAAATGATTAAAATGAAGCAACTCCCACTCCTTCAGACTATTTTTTATTTCTTTCCAACTTTGACATTAGTTCCCAGTTATGCAGAACAGGAATATCTATTCCCTGAAGGGTAATGGTGCCACTTACAACTGTGCTCACCACAGACCCAGAGATTGGGTTATAAGGCCTGACATTCTGGTTGAGCATGATAATAAGACAAACATTCCACCTATCATATAAATATTTCCACAAAATTTCCCCCTAAAAATGCCAACACCAATTTACAGGAAGAACCTTACATGCATACCTACATCATCCAAAAAGTGCAAGACTCAAATGGAAAACTGCACTGATCAACTTAGGTGGATGCCTAAGATGAATATGATGTCATGGGCACCCTGCACTAAGTCACTCCCACTAAGGCATCAGGTGTTTGTGCTTTTGGAACAAGCTAGAATGACCAATTTGAAGTAAAGGGAATTTTGTTTTGTCATCGAAAGCAAATATATGACTTTTCCATTGATCTCCTTTTTATCTAAAACAAAAAATGTATTGATTTTTCTTCCCTCTGGCTTCAGTGCTGATAAGTTCCTGCATCTTGAAGCCTTATCTGTGAATGATGGGATGGTCCTGCATTATTCAATGCCATTTTATGCTGGAATGATGTATGGGTTCGCGGAATTTCATGGAATGCCCCCCAGGTGGCAGAAGATTGACCATGGTCATCAAAAACTGACTAATCCACAGTTCTGTAACCTACCCACTATTTGAAGACCAAGAAAAACTCCAGACAAAAACCTTCTAAGGAATTTGGTGAAAAGAATTTAATATCTTTTCATAGAACAGCCCCTTGACCTGTTCACTGTTGTCCTTGGCCACTTAGAGGTCTTTTATTGATAGCCATCAATTAATGTGATGAAATTCTAGGACTCTTTATCAATCTAAGCATTTCCCCTATAAGATAGATAAAGCCATCACAAAGAGTCGTAGAAAACATTTTCAGACATGCATAAGTCTGTCCCACACAGCTGTAGCCCTATTGTAAACTTAATCAAACACAACACACGCCTCCTAACATGCTAAACCAAGGTGAAATCCACACATGGACTTCACGTATCTCAGAACTTGTGTAATATGATCATGTAGTATGTTCTCGATCAATTTGCCAATTACGCTAAGCAACACCTATATTATTACATAGGTTTTTGTTTCTTTAATTGAAGAGCAGAGGCTAAGGGAACAATCAAATCCACCTCTTAACACGTTCACAAGCTAATTGTCGTCAACATGTGTTTCATTACATGTTGAAAATTACCGTGAGATCTCTTTTGGATTGAAGATCCCCCTTCCTTCATTTAATTATAAACAGAACTGAAATCGTCGAAGAGAACGTCAGTCGGACATTAAATCACATTTATTTTTAATCTTGTTCCAATATTATTCCTTTCCCGAAGAAAAAAAAAAAAAACCTGAGCGGTGCAAGCAAGGAAAGCAGAAGGCGTTCGCCTTCCAGATCCCGAGTCCCAAGCAGTCTGGTCCTTCTTGGCTCCCGCATCACACATACCCTATGACCCTGTCTCATTCCCCTTCTTGCTAGGACAAGAATTCACAGAGAGGAGGGCCATGTGTAGGTCCCGCCTCGAATGGAGGATTCCCCGCGACTTTCTCTTTCCCAGCCGGGGATACCCTACCGCTCAGGTTTTTTTTTTTTGGAATGGTACATCACAGTACAAGCCATCGATGCACTAGAGCAAGGGTGCACAACTCAAAAGGCTTGAAGGGCCATTCGCGATTTTTACTCACCTGCGGGCCGCAGCTGGCTGACCATAGCTGTGGCCAACAGGGCAGGAACCATCATAGCACTTACAACGCCACCAGTCACGGCGGGCCGTATGTTGTGCACCCCTGCACTAGAGGTACTCGATTTGGATTTACTAAACGGGAGAACTCACTCCTGAGCTTCTTCGGAAGTTTCAAAGGAAACGAGAACGGCATCGTTGCGTCCAGGGAAGCGTTCGCACTCGGTGACTGTCCCAAGAGTGGCTACGAAGCGACGAAAGTCATCCAGATTCACATGAGGAGCGACATTGTGAAAAAGTACCTTTCCTCCGCTGGTCCGGTGGGCGCTGAAAGGGAAACCGGAAAGGCCGTTAAAATGGGCCAGAATGGCTCAAATGAGCCGGGACCGAGACGCAACTAATCACGGCAGGTCTCTCGACCGCACGAAGTCGGATTTCACCGGATCCTTCCCCGCGAAAACTCGAGTCAGCTGAGAAGCCGAGGCGAAGAAACCATTATGACGACCAAATTACGGGTTACTCTTGCTCTTCGCACGTCTTTCCCACGGTAACCCACACGATGTTTCATTGCTAGGTCCGCGTGTTTGTTTCATGCCGCCTCGAGAATCTGCTTCTCGCGTCGCTCAAAACAATTACCGTGTCTGTCCATCCTAAGAGCTTCACAGGAAAATGAACTGAACCGGGAATTTGCCGGAACCGGAAGGATACGCTCATCACTATTGGGCGGGGTTTTATGCTAGCATAATTTTTTTCCTGCAGCCTCATTGGAGCATGGAACCCAGATACGATCATGCCTTCGAGAAGAGGGATCTATAGACGCTATTTTTAAAAATGCATTTTAAAACAACGCATTTTCGTGTTTTTCTCAGAATATGCACATTTTCCAGGATAACATGCTTTCTTGATGAGGTACCGATGAAAACTTCCCAGCAGTCACGTGCTGGGGCAGTAATAGACCAACTACGCCCAGTAAACACCTCATTTCATTTCCGAACTTTTCCTTTTCCTCCGCGATGAGATTAGCATCGTTGTTTCTTCTGCAGAATGTGCTAAAACATGTTTCTGCATACTTTCGTGCATATATAATGCGTATTTTTGGCATTTTCGAGCGCAATTTCAAACGTCTATGCGTGACGAAACCCCGGAAAGAAAGCGCCGTCCTACGGCACAAATCTGAGTAAGCACACAAATATTGAGCGTAAGAATCAAAGGGAATAGCAGCGAATGGGAGAAGATGAGAATCGTATTGACAAGACTTCCTCCCTCGGTCAACAATGAGGTTTGTTTAGAGCAACAAGACACGGCACTCTAATACGCCACGATCCACATTTCCGACCGGATTTCTACACTTCATGGCAGCTTCGTAAGTCGAATTGCATCCCCCGTATCGATCGTGCCTATCAGGGTAAGATTTACGGTGTAATCTGAATAAAAAAAAAAAGAAAAAAAAAAGGCCTTACTAATGCAAACCCAATACGATGATTGCCCGCGCATCGGTCTGGTTCATCGACTTTTACTTTCGCGATTCCACAGATAAATGATACGGTTTATGTTCAGGGAGAGGGGAGGAAAAGGGTGCCGATGATATCATCCTCCTCGGTTCGTGGGTGATTCTATCAGAGGGATCTCCCGTGTGCGCGATCGCTCACATGCGGCCATATGCGACGTGACGGCCGAGCGTCGGTTATTTTCCAGAAATAAAAAACTGGTAGGCCAGGCATGCTAAACATACGGAAGAAGTACATTAAATCATCCGAACGTCGAGATTCACTCCCCGTGCTGGCAAACGATCGGCACGGTTCCAACCGAGCAAAAGGGTCGTTGGTAATAGTGGCGCGACGGCATCTGCCACGATCCGCTGCGCACCGTCGAAGGTGTTGCCGTTCGTGCAATATCGACGATCCGAAAGCGTCGTGTTCCCTTTCCAGGCGTGACCTCATCGACATGCGCGAGAATCGCGGCTCCGAAACGCACGAAACCACCCGAACGTCCTCGCGTGTTCGCGCACGCCCGCAGAATGTGACTGGGTGTGACGCACCGGGGCCGATGGGGACCGAGGGCGAGGAGAGAGCGAAACCCGCACGGTTCTCCGCAGCCCGACGAGGCACGACGACGGGGAAGACCGAAAATAAATTCGAAACGAGGAGGCAAAAACTCTCACGGTATTCTGGGCGAGAGGGAGGAGGAGGAGTGCGCCGCGTGTTATGGAGAAACACGCAGCCTAGGCCTAGCCTAATCGATACGAGGAGGGAGCGGGAGGTGAGGGGTGAGAGAGATATCTCCGGCCTCCTGGCGCGAGGGAGAGTGGAGAGATCCGCGCATGCGGGCATGGGGACGACGTCACGAGGGAAGAGCCGGAGCATTTGGGGGGGGGGGGAGAGAGATGTCAATGGCCCCCTCTGTGCCTCTGCCTCAACTGAACCGGCTCTCCTCTCCTCCAATAGGTGCCTCGCCTTGCCTTCCCTTCTCTGGCCCCGGCGAGGGTTGCCAAATCTCCCGGCCCGGTCCCCAACAGGTCCGACTATCTTGGGAATGCATTCGGACGCGGTGCATCTCTTAGCTTTAGTTATGCCCGGCCGAACTTTCCCGGTGGGACGGACGACACAGGTTTTTATCTCTCGATGAAACGTACCTGGGGGCCGGCTCGGAGGGGATTGGGGTTGAATGATCAAATTCCATGCTGTCTTTTTTCGTTTTTTGTTCCTGTCGGCTCGGTCACTAATAACACTTGGATGGGTTGTTACCCAGTTTTTGTTTAATGAAGGGGGATGGGCGTCACTCCTGGCACAGTCACGAGTCGGTGGAGAAACTGTCAATGTGGTAGATGGAACAAACTGCAATGCAAAGGAAAACGAACATTGAGGGATGGAATTCGGGAAGAGACACCGAGGACAGAGCCTTATCGAACTGCGATGCTCAAGGACACAAGAGGAACTGGCGTTTACGATGACAGATAAGCCATCCCCGGTGATTTGAACAAGAGAGTTATAAATGAACCTGGATTACACCAGTCAACACGGGCACACTCGAGAGCGTCTTCCCCCTCCACGGGGACCCCGAGTCCCGGAATCCGACACCGGGACCCTTCGCGAGGGAGACCCCGACGCTGCTGCCCCCCCGCGCCCGCCAGCCCGCCTCTTTCCCCTCACGTCGGCCTCGCACTGCAAGGTTCCCTCTCGAGTCGACCTCGCCGGGCCTCCGACGAGTCGGGGAAAGGGTGGACGGGGACCCCACACTCGACCGCATGGCACAGGGTGATCGATCCTCCCAGAACCTCGCAACGAACACGGGAAGACACCACACGTTGCAGGAAGGAATGCGAAGGGACGAACGCACACACCAAACGAAAACACGCGGGGCAGGGGCCACGCAGCATACGCGGGCAAGGAAAAGGGGCCACAGGGAGAAAAACTCGCGGCAGAAAAGGGAGCGCGAGGAAGAGAAGCGAGCGAGAGAAAGAGGAACAAAATAATGCTAGCGGTGGTGCCAGTGGTATTCTCCTCACAGTCACTCACTCGCTCGCTCGAGAGCGGGAAGCCCATTCAGGCACGCAGAAGCAAGCGAGTTCTGCTTAGGGCCAGGCCGGCCCCCCTCCATATCCTTCGCTAGAACCCTCCTCGTACCTCATGAACCGTCGCCACACGAACCAACTGCGTGTGTGAGTCACTGCGGAGCATCCAAATCCGCGAAGCTGCATTTAAGCGCCAAACGCGGTCTGGTAACTGACAACCCGTTACATCGACTCACGAGCAGAAGCCGTCGAGTGAACTAAGCCATACCTCGAACCGGCGCAGGTCTCTATTTCACCCTCCCACGAGCACGATGTGTGCGATGAGCATGTTGGTATTTTTTATCGCTCCCGGAAGACGAATGCAGAGAAGGTCCCAACATCTAGCGACGAATCGAGAAACTATGTGGTCGAAGGGATATGGGATAGGTGTCGGGACGCACCCGTCGCGGAATAGGTTAGCAGGAATGGGTTTTGGGTGCACAGTCGGGCTTTGGGACAAGGATGAGGTAGAAGTAAGCGTTCCAGAGGATAGGGCAATGGATGTGAGAGGAGGGGATGGGGAATTCGTCAATGATGGTGCTCCCGTGTCCTCGGGGCTGCTGCTAGACACAAAAGAAAAGAATACAATTATGAATAATTCCATAAAACTAAAGTAAAAGAAATAAAAGTTTTTCATACATTTTATGTTTTTCCTCATCATAGCCTTCAGTTTTTATCCTTTAGTTATGGTATATGATAAGGTATTCTATCAATAAAATGAGGCAATATCCTCAAATCGGAAAATTATTAAAACTCCAACTTATCAACCTCTTATATTTGTTATCCTGTATTTTTTATATAGTACAACCTGCCTTAGCTTATATGCTTGGGGCCAAACCCTGCTGTAAGGTACTGGAGGTTATAAGCTATGGCAGTATAAACTATCCAAGGTTTTACTGTACAAGTAACATAGACTGAAACAAACCAAAGATTAACAGCATTAAAAATTTCTTAACTTCCTCACTTGCAAATATAAGACAAGCCATGTCATAATTTCCATTATGGACTGCATCAGCCAACAATAAAACTCTTTTTTTTTTTACCACTCAGAGAATGTGAATATATTCAGAAAATGAACATGAAAGAGTAAGGGAAGATTGTGATAAATGGATGAAGAAATCCTAAATGAGAAATTTCCCTAGCATAAACGTTTTTGATTTCTTGAGTGAACCTAATTTGGGTTGTTATGCATGATGATGACATGAACAGGGCCAGATAATAGCTATACCCTTGGGTAACCAATCCTCAGTCAAGCAGTAAATTCATGCCAGACTCTTAAGTAGCAGAATCTCTCACTAGTTCTACTACCATACTCTGCATGATGTTGCCTTTAATGTGAGAGATTGTTTCAAATCAACACAAAGAAAAAGGAATCGGTGAAGTAAATGGTAATGAAATGACATTGTTGTAGTTCAAAAGACTTTAAAATTAGTCTGCTTACCTCCTTCCATTGCCATTGCCACAACCACCTGCAGCTAGAGAGGGCTCCACCAAGAGGTCATTGCCTTGAAAATTGAAGCCTGTGATGGAGATCAGGCCTTCATACAGCACAAACTTCCTCACGAAGACAAAATTGGGGCATTACCAAGCCAGAACACAGAACAATCGCTCACCATTGAGTTTGTCAATGGCACGATCTGCTGCACTTTGATCGGGGCAATCCACAAAGGCATAGCCTGCTCTCTTCACTAAAACACCAACCACATTCAATCCATGATCCTCAAACAATTTCCTGACATCTGACTCATCGATGTCAGAGGGTAAATTCCCAATGTATAACTTGCTCAACATCTTCAGTTCTTACTAGAGAGATCACCAAAAAAGAAAGTCAGTGAGAAGCCAGGCACAGTGCATGCCTACTGTTAGCCCAAGTCAATATAGATTCTAACCCTGCTCATATTCATTCATAACAGACCAATAATCTATTAATATGATAGTCCCAAGAAAATTTTAAACTTAACTCTAAGGAAATCAGAGTGCAAATGGTAACTGATCAACCCTTTCAGACCTGAATTAAGGCCGCTATTGGAATAATACCCTTTTTAGCATTTTTGAGCTTTTCCATGATTGCAATATAAAGCATTTGTGAGCACAGATGGTTTCTCAAAACTTTTTTGAAAAGCAATATTTTAAAAATTAGTAAATGCTTATTTTTTAACATCATACCTACCTAGCATGGCCTGTTATACACAAAAACCCATGTTAATGAATCCTTTACACCTAAATGAAAAAAATATTGAAAGCCTACCTAGAAGTTTCCAAACAAGTAACAAAAGGTTCTTTCTTTCAAAAGAATCAAGAAGTCTTCTACAGTCTGAATCTTTGAGAAAACTTTTAACATGTGAGTGCAAAAGGCAAAGTTGCATCATATACTATTACACTTTCTTATGAAAATTTTAGGTTTTCTGTACAGTTGACAGACATGAGAATGCAATCCTATCAAACATGGACAATTTCTTTGAAATGCAAACTGTAAAACAGATTTTGGTGCCAACTAAAGCAAAATGGCTCTCAAGAGTTTCACTGTGATTCATCTTATGCAAAATACAAAACATAAGACAGCTTAAATTATGCAAATATCTCAATGCATTATCCTGTCTTGATGATTTCAGACAACCCAGGGAAAACTTGTGATTATTCAACCTTGTATGACAACTGCCCTGGTGAAAATTGCCTGATCAAAGATAATTAACTGGCTGTAAAGAGAGTTACCTGATTTGTAGAATAACAGGCCAATGTTTCTTGGCAATCACATCAATAGATGATAACATGAGCTTCATGGTTGTAGGTTTAACCCTTTCCATGGCAAATAAATATGGAAGTGGTCAGAGATGCCCTGAACTCCAGCCGAAACTTGCTCGTAACTTTATCTTTGCTATATCCCAGACTGGATGTCAGTTCATTCTTTCAATTTGGCTTCTGTTTTCCCTCAAATCTTTGCAGCACCTGATGCTACAAACTTTGAATGAATTTCAAATAGTGTCTCCAAATGGAGATGCTACTATGAAAAGGGTTAACGGCTACCTCACACTCTGGAACCTAAGCTACGTCTAACAAGTATCGGCAAACCTGAGTGACTGCAACATTGGACGAGAATTATGTCGACATGGGCCTAGGCTAGGTCCTAAAGGGGGGGGGGGGGCGGGAAACGCGAAAAACTGATTTGAAATCATTAAAGCGAAAGACTTCAAGCTTGTTAGGCGTGGTACGTAAGGCCTCGAGTCAGACGCTACTCGAATTGTTAGACTCGGCCTAGGCCTCACTGACAATGACAATGGATTTCCTAAGAATCCAATAGAGCACCTCATGAAGGAGATGCATAGATCGAGGGCCAACCACCTTATCACACCCCGGAAGACCATTTCAATTGCAGCTCAAATTTAACCAGAAAGAAGTCACTGCTCACGAACACGAGGGAAGAGGGAAATTTGAACGCGAGCCACACACATCAGACCCCCACCCGGCAGCCATTATCGATTACTGTTCCGGTTAAAATCTGAGCGGGAAGAACTTCCTCCGCAATTTATTAGTTGACCATTCAAGGACGTACGTATTGCCAATAACCTCGGGGAAAGAAACTTACCACGTTTCCCTGAGGGGAATTTGTGACCCTGTTCCAAGAGGCTCACACCATAAGGGGAATCCTCATTCGTTACTTTGCTCGTGCCTAAACAGATGTCACCACTGGTCATAACCTGGACTCACCCCCGGAGACATTCTATATACAGTCAACTCTCGATATACCGCCACTGTTGGCATGGGCGTCCGCTCCCAGGGGCAAGGGAGGGCACTTGCCCCCCCCCCCCC